ATTGCTACTTGTTGTATTTGTTGTTTCTATTGTTGTTGTTGTTGTTGTTGTCGTTGTTGTTGCGTTGATTTGAACGATGGCGATAAGTGCCCCATTGCCATATAGCCACAGCCATAAAGATAGCGATGAATGATGCTCGATGCGCCAAGAATGTCTTAATTGCGGCGATGATGGAAATTTCTATTTGAAAAGTGTGCCGAAAGAATGAGACAGAGAGACAGAGGCAGACAGAGAGACAGACATACAGAGAGAGAGAGAGAGAGAGAGAGAGAGAAGAGTGATGAAAACTTTGGTTTGCTCTGCAAAATTTGTCTTCCAACTGAATGCGGCTATTGATATCAAGTTATCAATAATATCAATTGCAAATAACGTGCCTGCTGTCAAACCGGAACCGGAACCGGAACCATTAACCGATTCAAAATTCAGAAACGGAACTGATCGAATCACTATATCCCAATAGCTGTCAATGGAACGATCGATCTCTCGAAAGTTTTGTCTGAATTGAACTACTTTTTTGTTGAACTAATTATTCGAGCCAAAACTCAGCAATTCCGCAAATTGTCGTCTGGCTGTGGATAATCTGTAATTTACCTACGAAAATCGTTCTTTCTTTTATTGTTTTCCTCAAATTATTTTCGATTCGGGACACAACTTTGAAAACACTAGTTTGACATTAATCACGAAGCATATAATAAATATGTTGCTTAAAATATAAATAGTGACTTAATTCATTTGTTTTCTTTTCCAGTTTCTGGTTCTCATAATTTCAATTATATCAGCGTATATAGAATTATTTAGAATATGACTAATTGATGACTTAAGTCTGCGAAAATCTGCTTTACCATTTTCAATATCAAAGTGTTCATTCCATGTCATATATATTTCTGTGTGTTGTTTCTGTTTCTTCACTGCGAAGCGGAAATGTTCGCTCACAATAATCTATTAAATGGGGGCTGTATAATAATAATATAAAATAATATAAAGAGTTCATATCACACACACTCGCCCCTTGTGTCCGTTACTGTATTGTGCCTTTGCCTCATCAAGGGGCACCATATGCAAATGTTGACACGAATTCCGAATGCACTACACTACTACACCGTAAAAAAAGAAACAGATATAATATAGTATACATACTATATACAAGTTGAAAACTGGCTAAGAGCTAATTACTAAAGTTGGCTTATTCGAGTGCAGGCAGAACGCTGAACGACGCTCCAAATGCTTGGCCCACACAACACAACTAGTCAGCATATATATACATATATATATATATATATATATATATATATATATATATATATATATATATATATATATATATATATATATATATATATATATATATATATACATACCATATAGACTATTCTGCAGATTGTAAAGACCTACATAGAAATGATATTGGCGGCCTCGACACATGCCACAAAATAACCCCATTCCCCCAATTGCCATGCACCATTTACGTATATGCATATATAGTAGATATATACATACAAATATGTGTGTGTAGGTGTGTGTGTGTGTGTGTGTGTGTGTGTAGGTGTAGCTGTATGGGTGTGCTTGTCTACACATATATTAATCTACCTGACGCATTTCCCTCGAGTGTCGCAAACGCTTTGTGCGCTTCGCTTATTTCGCACATTTTTCATCTTTGGCCTTTGCTTGCTGTTGATGTTGATATACCCTGTACTTGTGCAGCACATTGTGCATTTTGGATTACATGTATACGATCTAAATTAGCTCGATTACCAATGCTCCAAGCCTTGTTTCATTTAACATATGAACAAGATATTTTCTAGTTTTCAGCACTTTAGTCTATTTTTAAGTTGGGTTTGCTTATACTCTGTACCCTCGCACAAATGGGAATTTGTTAACCTGTACAGGGTATTTCATAGCCAGTCGTGTGTGTATGCGTTGTTGTCTTTTACTTTATTTACTTTGCTATTTTTATACTCTTGCTGAGCGGATTATCGATTGCCTATAGAAAGTGTAACATTTTCCGGAAAAGATCTGTCCATAATATATATATATATATATATATATATATATATATATATATATATATATGTATTGCTAAAGTAACTGATAATATATATATATATATATATATACATATATAGCTGCCCATATTAAATATATATAAATGAAGATAATTCAGATGCTTCCCGTAGCAACTTACGATCGGTGTTAGATGGACTCCGGTCTGGAAGGGTATGCAATATTCTAGTATAGAATAGAGCTGTTGTTTCTTTGTTTTTAATATTATTTTTGCTGCAGGCAGAAATGTATTTTCGTGATTTGTATTTACACATGGCAAATGGCGAAAATCCAACAGAAATACAAATTGAAAGCCAAATAAAAAGTACAACCGACACAAGACAACCGACATAATTCATTTCCAGCGAATCGAAACAGCGTCAAGCAGACCAACAACAACAACAACAACAGAACAACAATTAATAAAAAAATTAATTGAAACACAAGCAAATACCACAAATTCCTCACACGAACGTCATTCAATATGCCTGCAGTGAGCGGAAGTACAAAATGTGCCTATCGTTGCCAGATGGATGCAAGTGTTGTACAAAAAAAAAAAAAAAAGGAAAGGAAATCAGCACATAAAACACAGACAACTCTTTGGAAATGGTAACACTTCAGAGTCAGAGTTGTGATCGGTGCTCGTTTCAAGTGATCGTTAAAAGTTACTCGTTGCAACTACTCTTTACTCTTTACGCATACTGGTTAAGAGTTACTCGTTATAATTACTCGTTTTGAGTTATTGGAGTAGAGTTACTCAGTAGGAGTATTCCTTACTACTAAACTGTAAAAGTTAGTAGTTTGTACTACTCGTTAAAAGCTACTCGCTAATAGTTAGTCGTTAGTTACTCGCTTCTCCTCAAAAGCTAATCGTTGACTTTCTTTTTGAACATTTCTCGTTACAAGTGTTGCTCGTTACAACTGATTGTTAAGAGTTACTCGCTGCCGCTACTCGTCAAGAGATCGATAATCTTGAAAATCAACTCGCTGATAGCCGTAAACAATTCAGTTGATTATTTATTTGGAAGTATGCGGCCCAAGTAACTCGCTCTGATATTCTCATTGCAATGAATGTATTGCCATAAGATAAGCTACAATTTAAGCAATATTCAGAGCGCAGCAAGCTGTGGCAAAAGTGCGAATTCCTTCAAAATATCAACAACAACATCATCATCGGCATTATCAGTTGAGATTGTGCTGCAAAATCGCTCAAGTGTAAAATGCTCATCATCAACAACAACAAAAACAACAAAAACAACAACAGCAGCAGCAACAACAAAAACAACAACAACAGCAGCAACAACAACAACTGCAACAATAAATCGACACCAGTCAATTACTCAAATGTGGAGCATGAATAATTATTAGAAGACAAAACAACAGACAACAATTAACAATTAACAGCGACAACAGCCACAAACAAAAAAATACATATAAACAACAATAGAAGCAGCAGCAACAACAAGAATAACAACAACAACAACAACAACAACAAAGAAACACTGGCAATTAAATGATTGGCATTGATCGTGAAATTTGATAGCTATTGTTCGCCACATAGAAACAAATTAGCATACTCTCAGACAAACTGTCTGACTGACACACAATGCCAAATTCTGCTGAACTGGGAAACTGCGAAACTGCGAAACGGGGATACTGGGGAAACTCTGGGCAACTCTGGGCAACATGCCAATAAAATCCAATTGCAATTTGAGACACTCGTCGACGCCATTTGTTCGCATACCCTGTAAACAGTTGCAAGCAAAATATTGTGCTTGAAATAAGTTGACTTTGAGATGCTAACCAGATGGATTTAAGAACTTTAAGCACTTCAAAGCAAATCGTAATCTCTGAGACAAACTACTTGATTGAAGCAATAAGTACTGATAAAGAAATACAATCGTATTTAGACAGGAGGTGTCAACCCTGAATCGAGAACCAATTAATGGCACATTTAGTACCATAACTGTTCCATAAAACTGAACAAAATGTGGAACCAATTCATAATCCTTAGCTGAACCGAAATCAGAATCAATTTGTCATCTTAACTTAGGCCAAACAACTATTACAATCAATAAGTTTTGATGTCGGACAGAAACTTAATTGCAACTCATTTACAGGATATCTGCCAGCGCAGCAATCTGAGAACTGAACCGAACTGAACTTCTGCATTCAGCTGCAATCTTAATTGCATCTAATTTGCATGGAGTGACGGCCTAATGAGACATTTTATTTGCCAGCAAAGAGTGCAACCAAGCAGTGCCAACACATATACAACACTCAGGACTAGGAGGGGTTCTAAGGGTAGTCTACCCAGCACCCTTTTTGGCCTGGCATCTTTATCAGCTGCTTACTTGGCCTGGCCTCTTTGTCAGCGGCAGTCAACAGTCGTCGAGGCACTTGCCAGTTTATTGTGCCACTTTTGTCTGCCTCTTTTTCGTCTCATTCTTCTTCTTGTTGCTGTTGTTGTTTGTTGCTGCTGCTGTTGCTGCTGCTGTTGCTGCTGCTGTTGCCTTTTATTATTTTGCTGTTGAGCCAGTTTCACATTGGTATTTTTGTTGCTGGCTGTGGGCGCAATATGAAACATTCGCTCATCTGGAATTAATAGGCAACAAATTCTTTTCCATCTTGTGTGTAAATTTATGATACATATTTGTATAAAGGAATTTTCAACCATTCCATAAGTGAGCACTGTTTGTGTGTTTATAGAAATATTGCTCTGCTATTGCTACTGCTAAGCGACAAAAAACTACGCGGGAGCATAGCATTTTCAAGCACTGTAAAAACATGCTCATTTCATATTTATAATTTATTTTCAAGCACTGTAAAAACATGCTAATTTCATATTTATAATTTATTTAATCCTGTCTCATCAGAATGCTGATATTTGCGTAATATTTAATAACAGCTCTAGAGAAAATAATATATTTTTCTTTGTTTTTGTTGCTCTTGCTTTGCAGAATGTGGTGGACCATAACTGGTAACTTTGGCAACATTCTGCCCATAGACTGGTCCAAGTCGTACACTCGCCAGATGCATATGCCGACTTTGAATCTGGGCCAGAATCGTACAAAGCAGCGCAGCCAGCAGCAGCAGCAACAGCAGCAGCAGCAGCAGCAACAACAACAATCACCACACAAACAACAACAACAGCAGCAACAAAATGCACAAACACCTGTGGATGAGTTCAATGATTTGGCCAGCGAGGATGAGGCTGTGGCAAATGATCTGGATATGCATGCATTGATATTGAATGGCCTCAATGGGGATGTCGATGAGCCAATTAAATCCGTCGAGGAGGTGATCAAGGAGATCGATGACATCATGGATGAGGCGGACAGTCCATTGGATGAGCCCGATCACTGCGATTCCGAGGTGATTGAGAAGGCACGCGAAGTGCTCGGTGCGCCCCTCTATGCAGAGAGTAAGTGTCAATAATCAGCAATCAATAAACTAGAATTAATAAACATAATTCTAATTCTCATTAGAATTGCAATACTTGAGCAGCACACAGCTGAATGAGCTGTATATGGAGATGGAGATGCTCATCCAGGAGCTGAGCGAGACGCTGATCAATGAGCTGGCGCTGCGCGACGAGCTCGAGTACGAGAAGGAGCTGAAGAACTCCTTCATATCCCTGCTGCTGGCAGTTCAGAACAAGCGTCGACAATATCATGTCGAAAAGAAGCGCGGCAAATTCCAAGGTACAAATTACATAATATACCATATATATATATATATATGTGCATAATATTAATGTCAACATTTCTTGCACTTCACAGGACCAGAGCCGAAATACTTGACCACAGTCATACCGTATCATCTGGAGAATGGCACGCCCAACAATCAATCGCTGCAGGTTTTGATCAAAAGTAAGTCCTAACAGGATAACAGGATGGACACAGGAATTATAGCAAATAAACATTAAAGCTGAATACTTCAGTTTATGTTACTAGGACACGTGCTATTCAAATTTCTTTGTAAAGTAATTCAATAGAGATATATCCAATTCCATAAGGTTTATTGTCATGTTGAACTGGCCTCATTCACTGTCTTTCTAACTGGATAAATCTATTTAGAAAAGTCTGTCTTTGTAGGAGAATTCATAAATAATTATAATCAGTAGTGCCTAAGCTTTAATCTATAAATCTATCTATATTAATCTGATCTATAGGATAGCTTATAGTTATACATTGATAGTTTTTACTGCCGTTTCGCATGCATATATTGATTTTGAATGAGTTGTGTGTATTTTTAGGATTATTTGTTTGTTCATATCGTCTTTTGGATAAATTAGACTTATCTTTCAGACTGTCGACGCCTATGCGGATATATCATCTATCATATAACTCCTGTTTTTTATTAAAATCGCAAAAATGAACGAATACTGAATGGTATTTTGATGTGTGAAGAGTCACTGTATAGAAGTTAATATGGAGTTTTAGACCTTTGTTGGCAATAACAGCTGTGTATCCTTTGGCATTAATAGACTTGAATCGAATCGTTGCATCATCTTTCCTTAAAATCCATCCAATTCACGCCTAAGGAACAAACCGATTTTCTTTATCATATAGGATAATGATGGGGCTTTGAGCTGTCAACTCGTGAGATTTCTTGTTTGTTTTGCTTGGGGCTCTTGTTGGAAAACCCATAATAAAGTCATTTCATTGGCAGCATTAAATTACTGAATATTTCAACAGAATTCCATGACTGTTTAGAAAATGAAAGCGCTGCTTTTAATCGATTTTCAAGCCATTTTTGGATATATATACATATATTTGCTGGCTGGCTATAGCAGAAGAAAAGCAGAAAATAATATATGTAATCCTTTATTGTTGTTGTTGCTAACTTAAATGATTTAAATTATACATATATACGAACAATATTTGCTCACATTTAACTTATTTGCTTGCAGTACTCAAGGCTATTAATGAGGACAGTCCGACGGTGCCGACGCTGCTCACCGATTACATACTGAAGGTCCTCTGTCCCACATAAATGACAGGCTGCAACAGCAATAACATCTAAAGCAACAACAGCAACAGCAACAGCAACTGCAACTGTAACAGCAACAATATATGCTCTATCTCGCTAACTGTGCTTATACGATACATATACAATACATATTTATATATATATACGTATATATATGTACATATATATATATATATATATATGTGTGTGTTTGTGTATACATATGTGTATGTCTATAATTAAATGTTTAGTTTTATATTCCCTGTGTATGAATTATTCGATATGAGAGCTAAGCTAACACGCTAATGCTAAGCTATATTCAAGCTATAGGGCCGATATCTCCAGATAGAAAGAGATAGAGCTACGAGCAAGTGAATATTTAAGCAAGTTAAGCAACTAAATACTCGAAAATTAAAACAAAACAACACAAAAAAAAAAACAAATAAAAACTATATTGAAACTCTTGAAAAACAAAAAAAAAAAAAC